AAACTGTCCTCTGAAGATGCCGGCCACAGAGACTGGCGAAACGTTAGGAAAAACCACCTTCAGAACATGGCCAAGAAGCCCGAAAAACCCACAACAACCATGTTGAGATGGAGTCTAGCATTGCTAGATTTTGATGTTGAAGTTCAACACATTCCTGGAAAACTGAATGTTGTGGCAGATGGTCTTTCTAAAATGTACTGTGAAGATTAATATGTTCCTGATCGTTGAAACAATGTTTCCAACAGTATGCCAGTGTTTCAGTATTCTTATAGTAATTACTGTGGTTGAATTAACTAACATGACTGTTTTCTATTTTCCAGAAAGTAGAAGTGCTTAACCAAGATATTGTATTGCGTTAATGCTGTTACGTTAATACAGTAGTGCTTTGCTAAATGCAGTGCAATTTTGATATATAACCAATTATTTACTTGTAATTACTTTTAGTTATTTTTGGTTGATTGCTTAAAATTAGACCAAAATTACTGCTCTGAATTTTAAAGGTTTTCGGTGGTGGCATGTAATAATATGTGTTTTTGAAGATATAGTGTGTTTCTTAGATGGGTTATGAAGTCATATAACTGTCTTCAAGGAATCCATTTTGAATCAATGTCTGTGTCTGTGAAAGAAGTTTTAAGATGCTGTTTTCATCTTAAAGTTCACAGTTCTTATCTGGTTGCTAGGAGGCCGAAGAGAAGGACTTTTGGAGCCATAACATTCCACCAGTAACATAAACCTGCAGATTCTCATGTGAAACTAAGGATAAGACACTTTTTACTTGTTCCTGGTTGGTCTTCCTCAGGAAGAAGGAGAAGGGGGGGTAATGGAGTCATGAGTTGTAAAATGGAGAGTTTCTGAGACAGAGAGAGGCCCTTTTTCCTAACATGGATTTGAGTGGTTTTTCCTTAACATGGATGGAGAATTGATGGACTATAATGGACTTGGCAATTCCTGATGGACTATGGAATTCCTGAATACGTAAGTTTATTTATTTATTTATTTTATTTTATTTATATGCCGCCCACACTACCCAAACGTCTCTGGGCGGCTTACAGCATTTAAAATACAATAAAGTTATGTAGAAATTAAAATACA